ATTAAATTTGTGTACGTTGGTTGTTAAATTATTCATAATGAAGTGCTCCCTTAATAGAATCGAGAGATCGATTCTGTCACAAACACAATAATTATATAGAACTCGAATGTTTGAGTTTAAATTAAACCCTCATAAGTAAAAACCATGGTACCATCTTCAGTTGGATACGATTAAACGACAGTTAATCAAAATATAATCCGACATAATTTTCGTAAATAATCTTTTCTACGCTCGGAACTTATGTTGAATATTTGATAAACTATGATTTAATTTTTTAATCAAATTGGATGATTAAATCATTGATAAAAACAATGGCAATATGAGTCATTGATACAATAACATGATGATGCCGATTTAATTTTTACAACTTAACATAAAAATACCCCATTTTGCCTTATTTTGCAAAATGAGCAAGAACTGTAAAGTAACTTTGGAAATGTGTCGTGTGGTGTCCTGGTGTCCTGTATGTCCACGAACTATAATAATAATATTAATTTCCATTGAATGTACAGCAATACATATAATATGGTTAATATAGAACAGATGTAAACATAAAAATACACTTTAAACACAGAATACACGTTGCAATAACAATAATATCTAGTAATTTAAATAATTCTTTGTACAGTGGCAAGTTAAGATGGTTGCGCACAAGCTCCCAGACTGAGTCATTCTCGTATTCTGGTAATCTTTAGGTTCTCTTTCTGCTCAAATTATAATGTGTTGCCATCTGCCAATTAGTCCAATTACAACAGGATATCCGTCTAGAGTCGTAGGTCTATCAGGGTTTATATTTCATTCTATATAGTTCTAACGTACACGCTGCTAAGTATGTTCTGACGGCATAAAATGACAATCCCCCTACTTTTCATTGGCATCAGCAATTGCAATAATTCTTTGCGAGAACTTCCATTACGATTTAAGAATTGGTAGTTCGATTCGTCTTTGCAAGATCGGAGCTTTTTCTCGATGGAATCTTTCACAAAAAAAAGTAGAATCAATGCTTAGTAATAACCGTGTCAATGCGAAATACAGAAGTTGAAGGCATATTACCGGCAGCGGATTCATATTCGTTATTGCCACCGCCGTATATGGGCACGGACTTTTCCAGCCAAAGCCAATCCGTAAAATCAATAAATCTTTATCCCTCAACATGCATTTTCTTTCGTTAAATTCAATTTTTTTATATCTAACTCCAAAAGTGTCCGGTTTACGGCATGCCCCATATTACGCCAGGACTACAATTAAATATAAAATAATATACGGCTAAAGAAATGGCTAACTGAAAAGTGCTTCTACACTGTTAAAGAATTTTTAGTTTAAACATGGATATTTATTATATTGTTATTTCTTTTTATGTCTTAATCTTTAAATTATTGTGTTTCCAAAATGGGCTGATTGATGTCACTATAATATTATGTACCTACAATAACTGCATCTACTCAATCAAAATAATAAAGATTACTTTACCATTGAGTCGGCAAAATGTTGGCGTTTAATTCGTTTTTGTCTACCCCGTTTATGGACGCGAATGTATGTAAGCACTGCCGGCAAAATTCCAATATTATCGGCCAAATTGCCAATATTGCCCCTATCATTTATAGTACGATGGGCTTGGAGACAGTTCTCACGTTCAATTTAATGTCCGAATGACATAGACTGTATTACAGCCATGTTGGTTTTAATATACGATACGACGAATACTTCTTAATAATTTATACCACGTATTGTGGTATACTTTTAAGTTTTAAAGGGAACGTTCATTGCGGTTACGACTATTAATTATTATTACTAACATTACCATTAATTTTATAATCAGAAATTGAAATTAAAGGTTAAAAGCAACATTATGTCTCACTGAAAAGACAAAGAGAGTGTGCGAAATATCCATCTGTATCTAGAATTTCTTATCGAAATTTATAGTTGAATGCTTTAAACTCTAAAGGGAGGGTTTGTCTCTTAATTGAATCTGACGTCATTTATAGACTTGTCTTGGCTTTGGGAAGGGTCTGTTTGTTACGCCTTTATCGTGTCTAGCACCATTCTATTATTCACGACCTAATAAAGCTCAGTTGTTGTACGTAATAATAAATCGGTATGGTAAAATAGATATACTGCCAATCATCGCTTATCGGAGAGGCATTCGCAGATATGTATATTTATATGTGTGTCTATTATAACTACTAGACCAACAATAAATTCTGTCTAGTACGCAAGAGGTCTTGGGTTAGATTTTTTATAATAACGATGATTTATTCTGTGTCTGGGTGTAATTTACCTATAACATGTTGTGTCCAGAAATATATATTAGTATGTTTATCAGCAATCTGGTTACTATTGAACAAGCTCTGCCTAATTGGGGATCAGACAGCGAGATGTGTCAAGTTATTATTCTAATTAATGAGAGATGTAGTTTTTAACTCGCATTAGTCTGCGATTTATTCATGTATTTTTTAATTACTCATATTACTAATAATATTTTCACATAAAAACAGCAATTGACGGGCCTGCTGGTCTAGTGGTTAGTGACCCTGACTGCTAAACCGGAGGTCGTGGGTTCGATTCCCACCCAGAACAAATATTTGTGTGATGAGCACGATCGTTTGTTCTGTGTCTGGGTGTAATTTATCTACAATATGTATGTATGTATTTAGAAATATATAAGTATGTTTATCAGCAGTCTGGTTACCATAGCACTGGCTCTACCTAGTTTGGGATCAGACAGCCGTGTGTGAGATGTGTGAGGTTATTATTATTATTTACCTATAATTAAATAGTATATTTATAATGGTGTTTAAAATATAATAGAATAATAAAACTTTATTTAACACCAGTTTAGTACCTATATCAAATTAACAAATTTAAATCCGCAATAAAACGTGGCTTGTGCCAATGGGACTATTACTCAATTGTGGATTACATAGAAGACAAAAATTATTGGGATTAATTAGCGCAGGCTATTTCTTAAGTAAAAATGTGGTGTGGGCTAGTGTATTTATTATTATTATTTTTTTCTATTTTTATGTTTCACTTGATTTTCTCTTTTATTCTATTTTCTTAATCTAGTTTTCTCTTTATTTTCTTTTTACCTTTTAGTCCTTAATAACGGACATACTTGGCACACATCAAAACAATGTTGTGGTATATATAATAATGCCATTGTATCTATCTGTGAATTGCAAAAGAGTGACCATGAGTTTGTTTGCCCTTTCTTCTCATAAGGCTCAATCCCTTGGAAACGAGCAGCTGTAGATCCGTACAGGCACATCATAGATTTTGTATAAGTTTAATTTTTATTTATTTTATTTCCTTACTATTTGACAAAACAGAGATTGTTGCTATTGTGTGTGTTAATCTATGACTTGACTATGAGTCTACATAAAATAAGATTTCAAACAATTTTAAAATTTCTATGAAATAAAGAGAGTTTGAGTAACGACTATGTATAAATAGAGGCCTTATCGCTAAAATGCAATAATCCATTATTTAATATATAACTATCCGCGATTATGTTTTGCTATTTGCAAGAACGTAAATTGTAATAAAATAAGGTTTGTCATAAAAATAAAATTCTATCCTGCCTCAATAAATATCAAATTGTTGTAACAACAAATTGACTACCACTTTCTGAAAGGTTGATCTTCGCAAAAAATAGTTATCCGTAAATTATAAAGGCAATATATTGTAAATCCCATTAAAACCAAACATATAAAAAATCAAAGTCTCGCAATTCACAATGCAGTTCTTCTGAAGTCAAAATTTTTTTTTTTTTGACGTGACTAATACCTCTTTTCACTGTAACTCCTGGACACAAGGATCAACAGTAGTGACCCATGAAAACATTGAGTTATGACACTCGGGTAGTTCCTGAAAAAATTAGTCTTGGAACCCGCAACGAAGTTAGAAGAAAATTGGAGGAGTTGGAAATATAAAAAATCCACTTCCCTCCTTAGCAACAGTAAACGGTCATTTACTCTTTGTTGCAATAACGACTAATTAATAGATTGGGTTACTAATAATTCCATCATCAACAACCTTTAATAGTCCACTGCTGGACATAGGCCTCTCCTTAGAAAGGAGGAATTCCATCTCAGAGTAGAAATTATTTGTTTATTACCTAAATCTTGCATATTCATAATTTAACACATAATATATATTTTTTTTTATGAATTTAATCAAAATCTTGTAGCATTTAAGCCAAAAATTAGTGGTAATTAGGTGATTTAAATATTTATTTTTAAATTTTATGATATGAGAAATATTTGGCAGTATTCAGTGTATAATACCAAACATATGGATACTGATTTTATTCTGTTTTAACCTCGTCCGCTAAATTATTGTCAAATAATATCAAATTCAAGTAACTATCAAAAAAGCGAGCAGAGAGACATAAAACCTGATTATTGAGGAAACTGATAGTTTGCATAATAACTGTTTTTGAGGGCGTATTTGAAACTAACGTGATGCGGCATAAGATTTTTTGCATGTTTGATGAGGGGACAAGATGGAAGGAACTCTTTGTCACGTATTTTTACGGCAGTTCCACCCTTAGAAGGGTTGTCGAAGGCATGCAGTAGAATTGAATTGCAAATTTTCATGCAGACAGTAAATTTTCACAATACACTGTACTCACTGGCCAGTTGGTGTACTGGTTCGAATTAAAAAACGAAAACGAAAAAACCCAGAACAAATAATGGTGTGACGAGAATGATTATTTTTTCTCTGTCTGGGTGTAGTTTATCAGCAGTCTGGTAACCATAGTTGTTTGCCTAGTTGGTATCAGACGGCCGTGTGTGAGTTGTTTGAGGTATATTATTGTACAGTCTCTACCTAGTTTGGGATCAGACAGCCGTGTGTGGCATGTGTTATTATTATTATTGTAAAGACATGAAATTTCTAAGCCAATTTTGCCTAAATAAGAAGTAGAGTCTTAGCTGAGACTTCGTCTATTGTTTTTTTGGTTGGTTTAATTTTTATTGACATGAGTTTTTTTTAATCAGGAAATAGAAGCAATTGAGGAGCAATGGCGGACAGAGTCAGCAGAACTGGTGACTGCAGTGGCGCGACTTCAGGACGAAAACAAACGCCTGCGGCGGACAATAAACGCACCGGCAGATGGTGAGTCTTCATTTGTCGGTAACTTACACCTTCATTCTAAATTTAATTAATTCTAGTTTCGACCATAATTACCCGTAATAAAATTTAAGTGTTTTCTTTTTCGCTTTTTAATTCGAGTTCGCTTTACTAACTTTTAAACTATCGCGTTCCAGAATATATCAATATGTTTAAGAGAATTACCAACCAGGTTCCATAGCTCTTGGACACATGCTGACTCTAGTATAAATTATCAATTTCCATTATCAATTAAACCGTCATTTGTATAGATTTTCCCTACATTAACAGGTCAAAATATTGACATGGATATATTCAGCTCAAAGTAGTAGTTTTACATCGCTTTTATGTAACACCAATCCAGCTATTAAACAAAAACATGCGGTCATGTTAAGGCTGTAAGAACCAAAAATTAGCACCATCCTTTCCGGTTATAAAGGGAATCGTTTAATATATTAAACTGAAATTATTATAAACTAGCGACCCGCCCGGCTTTGCAAGGGTGCAATATATTAAAGATATGTACCTAAACCTTTCTCTGGAATTACTCTCTCTATTGATGCAACAATTTGAAAGATCTAATCGTACAAGAACGGGAAGAAACTTCATTTCATATTATGAAAAGATTTACTATACTATTATTTTGTGTTGATCATGTTCTGTAGTTTAACTAACATTTAAAACACATTATTTATTCTAAAACAAACACTTTAATTAAAAAATCAGAAGTAAAATTTAATTAAATAGTTATATAAAGCCACGTTGTACAAGTTTCATTCATTCGTTTCATTCATTCAATCGTTCGTATACAACAATAAATTATCAAGAATGATATACTCGCTATTGTTGTACTGTGTTTACACTAAGCAATATTTGCAAGTTGGCCTTCATTCACTGCGTGTTCGTAGTACATGAATAATAAGCTAATTGTTTGCTGCAAAATGGCCACGCTTGTAGTTATTGGCGTAAGTGTGCTGTACTTAGTGTATTTGAACTGTGTTGTATCAAACTATTCAATTCACAAACTGGTTAAATTGATATAGTCAAATAACATACATAGATATACTCACGCTTGAATCTCCGAAGGGGTAAACAGATGTATATGAAAACGCCTATATTTTGCTGATTATAATATCCCACCAAAAACATTTTCATGACGACACTACACTTGCACTGTCAAAAAGTTATTAGATCTCATGTAAAGCCAACCTTCTAACTCCACATGCCTTAGCTTTACAAGCACTAACTCTATAAAACTAATGAAACTTGTTTGAGTTTGTTTGCCCTTTCTTCTCATAAGACCTTGGAAACCGGCGGTTATAGATCGGCACAGGCATTTAAGAGATTTTCGATACGTATAATGTATTTATTATGCTAAATATTTGATTTGGCAAAACAGAGATTGTTGCTCTTGTGCGTGTTGATCTATTACTTTAGAGTCTACATAAGAGACGATTTCAAACAATTTTTATCACTTTTTAAAGAAATAAATATGTTTGAGTTTCAAAAAACCATTTCAGGTAAAATATTTTATTAAATTCCCGATGACCGAATATCTTAATATAATCTATTGTTCTCAAACAAATGATAACAATAAGCCCATTTGACAATGAAAATAAAGACATCTTATTTATGTTTTGAGACAAATACTTATCTCTGAAATATTTCTCGTATTTCTCTCTATAAGGAGAGAAAGGAAGGACATCCATTCTATTTCCGTCCCTATGAGACTCGAAGTGTCCCCAAGGAGCTCCTAAGCTTCATCACAAAGCCCGGGTCCGTGTATCTTTCAAACTAAAGTTATTATTTGTTATTTTTGCCATTTCGATGTAGGAGAATTACTTTTGTGGACAGTTCGAGCATTTGAGGGTTAGTTGGTAATATGTTAGATAAGGAATCGTTGTCATTTTGCTTCAATTTCCTAAGTTTATTGCTCAATCGAAATCAAATAGATATGTTATGCAGTTGAAATTAAAAAAATAAATTAAAATAATCAGTTGAAATTGAAACATATTGTCTTTATTCTGATAAATTCAATAGATTATAAGACATGTGCACTTGTATTTTTAAGTATACATTACCCTGCCCTTACGTTCTCTATTTTATATTCATTGTTATTAAGGTTCACTGGTGTACAAAAAATAATAAATGACAAATGAATCATATAACTAGTCCAGTGCTGGAAATAGACTTAGAAAGGAGGTCCAGACGGGTTGGTATAGGGTTTGTTTCAAGCGGGCTTTGAGACGTTGGCCCATTTCGTTCGGTGTTCCGCAGGGGTCTGTTCTTGGGCCGCTCCTGTGGAACATGGGTTACGACTGGGCCCTTCGTGGTCGCCTTAACCCCGGGCTGGGCGTTATTTGTTACGCCGATGACACGCTGGTTACAGCCCGGGGAGCGGACTTTCAAGAGGCCGCGCGCCTAGCCACCAGGGGAGTCTCTGGTGGTCAGGCGCATTGAGGCGCTAGGCTTACGGGTGGCCCTGGATAAGACGGAGGCTCTCTTGTTCCATGGGCCCTATCGCGGTCCACCCCCCGGCGCCTCCATCGTGGTCGATTCGGTCCTCGTACCGGTTCGGGCTCAGATGAATTATCTGGGTCTGATTCTTGACGGGAGATGGCTCTTCGACGAGCACTTCCGACAGCTTGCTCCAAAGCTGGTCGGCGCTGCATATACCCAATTTGGGAGGACCCAGCGTCGCAGCGAGACGGCTGTACACGGGGTAGTCAAGTCAGTGGCACTGTACGGTGCACCGGTGTGGGCGGCGGCTCTGACCGCCCAGAATAGGGCACGGCTCATAGGCCTCATAGGCCATACGCGGTTACCGCACCGTATCGACGGAGGCGGCGTGCGCATTGGCCGGTACTCCCCCGTGGGATTCGGAGGCGGAAGTGCTCACCGAAGTACATCGGCGGACGGCTGAGTGCCGGCCGTAAAAAAAAAGGGTTTGTTTCAAGCTCCCTTACTCGGCTCGTACGACACTCACGAGAGGTGTAGGGATGAGGACAGTGCGTATTCTTAATCCGTCATCACACAAAATAGAAAAATGAATAGATGTACAAAATTACCTGTCTCAGATAGAAATATACATTACGCGGTAAGATATCAGTGTAGTGTATCTTACCGTGATTGTATCCTATCCATTCTTTGTGTGTAGTTTAAGATACCAATCTATACCGAAGGATAAATGATTTGCTTTTCATTACTCGTTAGAAATTGAATTTCATACCATTCGGAATCAATCACTCAGGCAATCACAGTCCTTATCCAATCGTGCTAGCTTTCCTACTCCCAAATTTTTCAGATATCTTAAGTTTTCAATTCATTATATATTTTAATGGAAGTCAATATCGGATTAATCTCAAACAGACTCTGTTAGTTTATAAAAAGGTCGTGAGCTAACCAACTGGGGGCTTCTTACCACCCGTTTAAACCATAACTGTAGGTAATTCGATCAAGGTACATCTCGTTCTTAGATCGTCTTGGACCGTCTGGAATATTCTAGTTCTAATACTTTAGACAAATTGGTGTGGTGACGGATTAAGAATACCGAGTGTCACCACGCCTATTGATCCCGCGGGTATCGTAAGAGCGGACTAAGGGAGGAACCTATGCAGGACAACAGCACTGCAGAGAGAAGGAAAACTTGACACAAACTCTATACCAACCCGTCTGGCCAGCCTGGTATATGTTAGTAGGCCAAAACCTCCTTTCTAAGGAGAGACTACGTCCAGCAGTGGAATATTAAAGGCTGTTGATGATGAATACTTCAGAACTATCTTCTTTATCGGGTGGGATATTCGTGGTTTTGTAAAAACTCAAATATCATCCTGATCATTTCACATGTACATAAATTCTTATCCCGTTGATAGCGTTTTACGACTGCTGAAATTTGATCTACCATCACTATGAAAACTTGATACATAAAGTATGTAAGTAGCAGCTGCACTTTTCAATATCTATAAATAAATAAATATCGCTAGATGTTAACATAGATGTTCACTGTTTTTTTTTTTTGTTTTTTTCCGTGCGGAAATCCCCTCGGATACCACCTGTCGGTGGCATGTCGGACTCGAACCGACTAAAACCGCACGCTGTCTCGGGTACTAATAGCCGGGGAACCAGCTATACCCTAGAAAGGAAGTCCCTGGTACCCCGACATACCTCGGGTCATCTACAGACGAGTAGACCCAGTGTGGGCACCCCCTGTTCCCTGTGCTCCCTGGAAGCGAGCGCGCTTTGCAACGCGCTCGCCGCCACCCTGCTAGGAGGTCGCAGAACGACCTCCTAGCAGAAGCAGGCCTGCTTCTGCTAGGAGGTCGTTCTGCGACCTCCGGCGCCTGAGTCGCCTGCGGTACCTGGCCCGTTCCCGGGCCTGGCGGGCCGGGAGAGTCCTAAACCTCTCCCGGTCCCGCTCCGCCGTCTCCTTCGCGAGCGCGCTTCGCAACGCGCTCGCCGCCACCCCGGCCTGCTTCTGCCAGGGTGACAGATGGCCTCACCTGTCCTGACCTGGCCAGAGTTCTAAACCTCTCCCGGTCCCGCTCCGCCGTCTCCTTCGCGAGCATAACTTGCTCGCAAAAGGAGACGGCAGAGTTCCACGCACTCTCGCTCCGCACGATAGCCGCAATCAGGCTATCGAGCGAGAGAACTCCAACTCCGATGGCCGCCACGAGGTCTCGCCTCTGCTCAACCTACGCCGGGCACTCTGCCAGCGTGTGGAGAGCCGTGTCCACGGTCTGGCCATCGCAGTGGTGGCACTCAGGCGTTGGCTCCTTGCGGATCAAACACAGGTGATCCCCGAAACATCCTTTCCCAGTGATCACCTGCGTCAGTCGGTATGAGAGGGTCCCGTGACGCCTCTCGAGCCAATCCTCCATAACGGGTCTTACCGCCGCGATGACGGCGTGCCCGGCGCTCGGTTGCCCGAGTCGTTCTTTCCACAACATAGATGTTCCCTGTCATTGACTAAAACCGCAATAAGGTTCATTACTGTTAAAAATATAATG